TTTCATTTTTCCAGTACTGGGGATTTAACCCAGGGGTGCTTTACCACACTTTTTGGGCAGATTCTCGCTAGACTGCCCCAACTGACCTCAAGCTTGCAATCCTCCTGCCTCAGCCTCCCAAGTAGCCAGGATTATAGGCATGAGTCACCAGGCCCAGCCTGTGCACTTTCTTGTATGTAAATTTTACCTCAGTGAAAAGGTTTTAAAAATAGATTTGGATCCTAGCAGGTATTTAGAGTTCCTAATAGGAGAGACTAGAGAAGGTGAAGTTCTCTAAAGAATTAAGGATTAATGAGATTAAGGATTCCCCCTCCTCTTTCTCCTGAGGATGTTAAACTAAGATTATGCAACTATACTGAAGGCAGAGGTGGGACACCAGGGGGTGAATAAACTGGCCTTCATTTGGAGAGCCTCCATCCCCAGAAATTCCCAGGTCCCTCCCTAGGGACAGAGAAGTCCCTCTCACTAACTCCCATCTCTCCCACTCCAACCCAAACCACTCCGTGGCCTCAGGCAAAATCTCCTTAGATTCTCACAGTGGGGCGACCTGGGGGGTGCATTTCAACCATCCTCATCTCTGCCCTCACCCTTCCCTTCTCCCTGGACGTCCATTCCTGCAGGAGCCACCCCGCGCAAGCCTTTTCCGGTGGTATGTGCCAGCCCGTCCTGCATCCCACATCCCCAGCTGTTGACATTTCGTTGCCATTACCCACGGGATAAAGAAAGGGGCCCTGTTATTCAACAATGGCAAAAAAGACAGAGACAAAGGGAAATTGTGCTTCCGATGGGGTGGGGACAGAGAAGGAAAGGACAGACAGATGGGCAGACAGGGGCTGGAGAGAGGGGATCAGGTTCCGAGAAGCAGCTGGAAATCAGTTTCCACCTTGACAGCCTCTTCCCAAAGGCAATGCGCCTCCAGGCACCCGGGGGCGGAGGTGAGGACCTGCTGAGGGGGGCGGTCACGTGCTGCTTACGAGGCCCGAGCAGCAGTGTCAGGCGGCCGTGGGTCCCTGAGCCACGGTCCGGGTTCTTGCCCTTAGCATTGGTCCCCATCCCTTCTGGTTCCCCAGCGTCCGGCAGCAGCAAAGCGCCTGCTTTCTGTGCCTTCCATGTTGCCTTTTTCACTCCTTCTTCCACCGTGGGTCCTTGCCCTCCTCCCAGGCTGGGCATCTTTCCCTGGTCCGAGAACAGGGGCTGCACAGATAAAGCCACAGGGCTGGACACGGTCCCTTAGCCTGGCTCGGTGGACTGGCGGGTCGGGTCGCTTTCGGCACCTTGGCTTCTTCTTTGAGTGCAGGAGGGAAGGCTTCCTTCAAAGGTGTAAAAGCAGCCACTACGTTGGTCACCTAGGTGCTCAAGACCCTGGGCTTTAAAGTGCCTGGACGTCCCTGGACAACTTTCACCTGGAAGCCTCCTTTCTCTTACGCAGGACAGAAGGCTGCTACACATCGCTTCCTTTGTCTAACAGGTAGGCCACAGGGCTGCTGGCTGCGGTGTCATTTTCTGCAAGCGGTATGAGGCTGATGTGGCACCTGCTTTGAAAGACAGAAACACAGATCAGTGGTTGAGAGTGTAGGCCTAGCTGGTGTGGTGGTGCAGGCCTGTAACCCCGGCACGCTGGGAGGCTTGGGAGGGCCGCAAGTTCAAGCCCAGCCTAGGCAGCGTAGCAACTTAGTGAGACCCTATCTCAAAAAAAAAGGCTGGAGCTCAGTGGGAAGGCCCTGGTTCAATCCCCAGCCTTGGGGTGGGTCGGGTTTGGGGAAGAGTTTAAACTATCAGATGTGGATTCAAATCTTACCATCTGTGCAACAGCACTAAAGTTTCCTCAACACGTGCACCTTCTTTTTGTCTTGTTTTTTGAGAAAGGGTTTCACTATGCAGTCCTGCCTGACCTTGAACTCACTTTGTGGCTCAGGCTGGCCTCAAACTCACAGCAGTCCTCCTGCCTCAGCCTCCTGAGTGCTGGGATTACAGGTGTGTGCCACCACACCTGGCATCATATACACCTTTGTTTGTTTGTTGTCTTTTTGAGACAGGGTCTCGCTATGCAGTTCAGGCTGGCCTTGAGCTCACTTTGTGGCCCAGGCTGGCCTCAAACTCAGAGCAATCCTCCTGCCTCAGCCTCCTCAATGCTGGGATTACAGGTGTGTGCCACCACGCCTGGCATCATATACACCTTTGTTTCAGCAGGTGTCCCACGTCTTTTATTAGTTCCTACCTCACAGCATTGCCAGGAGAAATAAATATAGAAATAGGTAAAGTGTTTACAGGAATGTCAGGGATAGTAGCTTTCGCACATGTTCATGCTACTTGCCTTGTTTTTGTTTCGTTTTGCTTTTTTTTTTTGTTTTTGAGACAGGATCTTGCTATGTAGTTCAGGCTGGACTTGAACTCAGTTTATAGCCCAGGCTGGCCTCAAACTCATGGCGATCCTCCTGTCTCAGCCTCCCGAGTGCTGGGATTACAGGCGTGTACCACCATACCTGGCTCTCTAGCTGTCTTTATAGGTGGCTCTGAGTCCATTTCAGACCCTGCAGTCACTGTTACTTACCAGGTTTTCCTGTGAAGAAGAAGTGGTTCTCTCACTGGTTAACTACGGGGAAGTTCTTGCACCTAATCTGTTTCTCCTGCTGCACGCTGGCTTCAGCTTGCATCTGTAGGAAGTTGGGGCTCAGCTCTTTAGATCTGGTCATCCCCGACACCCTAGGGTACTGAGATTGAACCCGGAGCCTTCATATGGAGCTACATGCCCAGGCCTTTTAATTTATTTATTTAATTTTGAGACAGGATCTCACTAAGTTTCCCAGGCTGGGCTTGAACTTACCATCCTCCTGCCTCAGCCTCCCAGAGTGCTGGGATTACAGGCCTGGGTTCTGGTCACTCTCCAGAGTCTTCCCCCTCTCTCTGATTGTACTCAGCTCTTCTCCCTAGAAGTCCTTAAAGTGAATTCATTCATTAAAATGCTGACACATCAGCTTTTACTCCATGCCAGAAATGAGGCTAGAACTGGAGATAGTAGCTACCACATACAGAGCACCATACATGTCAGGTTAAGCATTTGACATAGATGTTGTGAATTCATGTAATCCTTGAAACTACTCAAGGAGGGAATCATGCTATTATTATCCAGTGAGAGTGATGAGGACACTGAGGCAGAGAGAACTTAAGTAATTTGTTCAAAATCATCCAATTAGGATGTAGATGAGCCAGGTTTGGAAAATTAATAAAACTAGGTCAAGGGATTCTCAATCCAATTAAAAAATAAAAATCAAAGTGCTATGAATAGATTCCCATCACTTGGCCTGGTAGTGCACCCCAGTAATCCCAGTTACTTGGGAGGCTGAGGCAGGAGGATCACAAGTTTGAGAACAGCCTGGGTAACTTAGTAAGACCCTGTCTCAAAATAAAAAATAAAAAAGGCTTGGGATGTAGCTCAACAGTACTGTGTCCCTGGGTTCAATTCTTAGTACAGTAAAAAAAAGAATATAGATGATAAAGAAGGAAAACAATGTACTGCCAAAACAGACAGTTGCATTTGAAATAATTTTTAAAATAACTTTATAATTTCACACTTTACATTTTTGACAAACCTGATATTCCACATGTCATATGTATTACTTTCAAATCACACTGTAAGTTTAGGTGCTAAAAAAAGTACTTTTTCTGGTTGTGATGGCCACACCTGCCTGGAATCCCATCACTCTTAAGGCTGAGGCAGGAGGGTCTACTCCAGCCTGGGCAATTTAGCAAGATCCTGTCTCAAAATAAAAAATAAAAAAAGGCTGGGAATGTAGCTCAGTGTGAAGGACCTGGGTGACTCCCCCCCATATGTGTACGAGTGCACACAGCTTCAAAAGTAAGTCCCTGGTGCAATCCAGTAGACCACAGTCTGACCAACTGCGTGTGAAGAAAGGTTTCTTAGACAAGGTGAGATCCAAGCCCACACCTGTGCATGGAGTGAGCTTGACCCTGGGCTGTCTGGGATCTTCTGGAAGTCCATGGGATCCTGAGGCAGAGGATGGGGTGAAGGGCGTGGAGGGGGTGATGGTGGAGGTGCGGGAGGATCTGGACCATTGGGGGTCCAGGGCATTGTGAGGGGATTGAACGTGACCCTCAAGGCTATGAGGAGCCACTGCTTCAAGCACAGAGCGGCAAGACCATACTCACTCTGAGGAGGGGCTCTGGGACAGGACAGAGCCTGCAGCGTTGGCAAACTCCATGGATGGCAAGTTTGGGACGGAGCACCTCGGCTGAGAGATCACAAGAGAGAAGTTGCTAAATCAGGACCTGGCCCGGGCCTCAGGTCAGGGGCAGTGGGGTTGTTGCTGCCTCCCCCACCATCACCTTCTTGCTGTCGCCCCTTGGTTTCCCACTGCAGGTTCCCTCCAGGAATTCCCCTCGAGTTACCTCACCCTGCCTGCTCTTCCGCCCCTTCCCCTAAGCACACGCCGCCTTCTGCACCCCGCAGAACCTGCTGGCAGACCCCATCATGCCAGGCCGGCTCACCTTGTCCGAACTCTGCCGCTTCCTTCTCCCCTGGGTGCTCGTCATCTCTAACAGAGCGCTGGGGGACGCAGGTAAGGCCCAGGCCAGCCCAGCACGCGGAACACGCTGGGGCAGAGGCTCCCGGCGGGCCCGTGCTAAGGGCAGCGGCGGCCAGTACCCAAAGCATAGAGTCTGCGCGCAGGGAGCAAAGGAGTGGGCTGGACCGCCTCTGGGGGCGGGATCTGGGTGGGCACCGGGCAGTGAGCGACGGGGAGTCCCTGCCACTGTGGCCCCCTCTGCTCAGCATCCCACCCCGGGCCCCACTACCTCCTGCCCCCCATCCACGAGGTCATTCACTCGCGACGTGGGGCCACGGCCACACTGCCCTGCATCCTGGGCGCCTCGCCTCCCAGCTACAAGGTGCGCTGGAGCAAAGTAGAGCCGGGGGAGCTCCGGGAAACTCCGATCCTCGTCACCAACGGGCTGCACGCCCGGGGCTACGGGCCGCTGGGCGGGCGCGCCAGGCTGCGGCGGGGGCACCGGCTGGACGCCTCACTGGTGCTGGCGGACGTGCGCCTGGAGGACGAGGGCCGCTACCGCTGCGAGCTCATCAACGGGATGGAGGACGAGAGCGTAGCGCTGACCCTGCGCCTGGAGGGTGAGCCTTCCGCGCCCTCCTGCCTCGGCCTCCCGCCTGGCATGGCGTCGCGGACCTTCCCCAAGCTCTCCCGCCCCCAGGTGTGGTGTTTCCGTATCAGCCCAGCCGCGGCCGCTACCAGTTCAACTACTTCGAGGCGAAGCGGGCATGCGAGGAGCAGGACGGGCGCCTGGCCACCTATGGCCAGCTGTACCAGGGTGAGCGCAGGGCGGTCGGGCACCCAGGGCCGCGCGCGGCCGGGCCTGACTGCGCTGTGGCGCCCCCTCCCGGCCGCAGCGTGGACCGAAGGGCTGGACTGGTGTAACGCGGGCTGGCTGCTGGAGGGCTCCGTGCGCTACCCCGTGCTCACCGCGCGAGCCCCGTGCGGCGGCCCCGGCCGGCCCGGCATCCGCAGCTACGGGCCCCGCGACCGCATGCGCGACCGCTACGACGCCTTCTGCTTCACCTCGGCGCTGGC